TTCCCAATAAGTATGATTGGATCAAGCCGTGTGCCAATTATTACCCATGGGACCATGACCGAGATGCAGTGTGCGTCTATGAGGAGGCGTTGGTCGCTGGTCTTTGATTCCCCTCCATCCTTTCATTATTTCTATGTTGAGATACTACGGTGTGTCTCTAGGTCAACTCAGTCCCAATGCAATTCGTACCTTGGTGGGGCTGATAAGTTTGTTCCATCATCGCAATTTCCCTTTGAATATGGATATTTTTTCCAGCTTGTGTGTCATGAAGAGGACTAAAGATCCTTTTTGCTTTTACCTTTCATTCCGAGGTGGTCAAAAGGTTTTGATTGATTTCCCTAATAAGGTTAAAGGGTGGAAGGGTAAGTTTTTCTATCTTTCTAAGGACAGTGGTTGGGAGATGAACATTGTGTGGAAAAGCAGCTGTCAGAGCTTCGATGAGTCTTCAGACGTGGAGTTGCGAGTTTCACTTCAGGAGTTTGTCCGCCAAAAAGTTGAAGTAGTGAGTGTTCTGGCCGAGCCCAAAATATTTAGGCAAGCCAGAGCTGCGTAGGTAGGTCGGCCATTGAGCCATTTGCATATGCAATTTTTGTTTTGCTGATGATTAGCTCGTCTAACTGTTTTTTCTCTTTTCTTCAGATATGGCGAGCATGGCTTCTATGTTGGTGCTTAATAGGGAGAAGAAAGCTTCGAGGAAGAAGCGAAGGGCAGAGCACCGCTCCTCAATGGAGGGGACCTCGACAAGTGCTGAGGTGAGGTTGCCACACCCCGCTCCACCTATTGTCGACCTCGAGGGAGGCAGCGAACCCATGAATAATGACCAATACTCATCTGGCCCTTTTGCCTTCAACCTCAAGTCAGCCATGAGGAATGCGAGGCCGACTCTTATGTTTTAGACATCCCCCGCTTCGTGCCCAATGTCATCAATGTTTTGATTGCGTATCTGACCCTCGGGTGGTCATTCGGTTGGTCGGGGGCATGTTGCTCACTGAGTACATTCGCTATTTCCATAGTCTGGACCCCATTGAAGCCGGAGCTCGTATGGCTCACCATATTGTTCAGGTTTGTCTGCTTACAGGATTTTTGTCCTTTTGATTCAGGAAAGTCTGTTCTGATCATACTTACGTTTTTTTTTGCAGGCAAGCTCCATTTGACAGGTCTTGCTAGACCTTGTTCATGCAAGTGAGAAGGAGAGAGGTGAGATGCGGGTGAACATAAGCTCATTGCAGGCCGAGATGCAGAGGGTCCAGCTCAACTCGGAGGAGGATCGCCGCCAATTTTATGAGCAGAATCAGGGGATACAACGTGAACTGATCGAGGCTCAGCGCAAGCTAGTTGAGGCTTAGGATACCATTGTTGCCCAGGCATGTCAACTAGAGGAGAGGCAATCAAAATACACTCGGGATATCCACCGAGCTGAGGAGGCGGTCATTGCTCGCTTCTTGAAGTCCCCGGAGTACGAAAAGAAGAAGGCGAAGGTTGGTATTCCCATGATGAAGAGGGGTTTCAAACTCTACCGCCGCTACCTGAAAAATGTTGCATCCTACCTCCGATTTTGGCTCCCTTTTTGTGAACGATGTGCCATTCGAGCTCGCGACACAAGTTGATGAGGAGCCTCTGACGCTAGAAGAAAATGAGGAGGATGATGGCGAGATCCAGGGTGACGGCGAGGAAGGGTATGAAGAGGACGACAACGAGGCCCCGTGCGGCAACAATGAGTAGCCTGATCTATCTACTAGTGATGACTTTCTGATGATTCCGGGAGCCTGCGTGCTCTTGTAAGTTTCTCTTGGGCCTGTGTGCCCTTTTAATGTCTGAACTACTGAGATCTTTCTTTTCTTTTTTTTTTTGATACATGTACGACCATTGGCCTTTCTTTCAATTAATGGACTTAGCTTTTTTGCATTTGTTGCTTTCCTCTTGGATGGATTTCTTTTTTGTCTATGTCGTGCCAACTCAGTCAGATTGTCACCATGTTGGTCAAATGCCATATTTTTTGTAGTAGTCTGGATCTCATCTCTTGCGCCTTTTGGCGAAGCTGCAGGCCGATCTGGATGCCTTAGCGAAATTTGTTTTTTTGTTCTCTAAATTATTGACATGTTTCTCTCTCCCTTTTTTTCTTTATTCTCTCTTTTCTCTCACCTCTTTTTGTCTGAAAAATTACAAGAATGCCTTATATAAGACAAACCTCCATATATAATTGTCTCTATAATATTCAAAAAAAGTACAACAATGCCACATATAAAACAAATCTCCTTATTTAATCGACTCAATGGCATTCGAAAATTATAGTAATGCCACATACAATTATTTACGATTATGACATCCTATAAATAAAATGCCATTCCTCTTCTTTCTCAACTCTCTCTCTCTCTTATTCTCTATCTCAACTCTTATTTATTCATTTATTTATTATTATTATTATTATTATTATTATTATTATTGTTATTATTATTATTATTATTGTTATTGTTATCTAAACATTTATTTATTTAATAAAATAAAATAAATTGGTAGAATAGAAGGGATGTGACATTAAGAAATAGATTTCAATAAACATTTAATTATTTATTTTACTAAATTATTTATTTATTTAAAAATAATTTACTAACAAATTATTCTCTCCCCTTGAGCCCAATATTTAGTGTTGTTAATGGGTCGGGTCTGGTTCGAGATAGCCTATACCAGTCCCAACCCAATAGAATTTTATTTATTTAATTTATTTAAGAAAAACTAGGGCTGAACCTATGTGTTGGGTCTATCTTGATGGAGCTAAATTGATTGAACATAATTATAACGGTTTTTGTTCCATGATTTTGTCTTGATTAATTATTGGATTGATTCTCGTTTTTACTTATTCAGAATTGATTCAGGTCTGAAACCAAACATTTTATGAAATATATAATTTTTTATCTTTCTTGTATTTTTTATCATGTTTCATGTTTGAAATAGTAAATTTAATAAATAATAAATAAGATAATATTAGTTAAAAATGTTTAACTTATTAACATAAAAATAAATTAATATTATTTTGGATATTGTTTTCAATATAATGAGGTCTATGATTTGATCCCAATTAAATAATTGGTTCAAGACTGGTTGTACGTGGTTTATTATTATTCATAATAATATCTCCCATGGTTTTTGAACTGCTATTAACCCGGACAGTCGGACCGTTCGGCTCAAGAACCGTTCTGGTAACCAGTTCTGTTTTACCTTAAACCCAGTTCCTAGCAAAAAACCATTGAATCAGTCAATGACCCGTTGATCTGGGCAGTCAGATCATCGATCCTTTGACCCATTCAACAGTTTTTGGCTGTTTTTTATTTTTAATTTTTTTATCAAAACGAGCATTCATTCAAACCGAACAATCTAACCGTCAATCCAAAAACTGGTGACCAGAACGTTTCTATTTCTGGTTCATTTTTTAAAACCATGTTATCTGTCGAAATGGGCGTAAAAAAATTGTATTTGCAAAAATGGCATTTTTAAATTTTGCCGGGCGCTTCACCGCTAATGGGGTTGAAACGGAACGGGCCGGATGAGTACCGAGTTGCAGAGTCGAACAGGCCCTGGGACTATGGGAGTTTGTAAGTCCTACCTAGACAGTGTCCTGATCTGATCTGATCTGTGGACAAATAAAAGGACTCTGATGACTTTGGGACCCATATTTGACTTCTACTTCTAGCCCTGCTAATGTTGGAAAAAGAGACCTTTTATTGTTCTCCACCGCTAATCAAAACCAACGAAACCGGCCCACCAAGGAGGAGGGAGTATAAATCTTTCAATTATCTCACACGGTTGATCCGGAATATTCTCATTCCTTTCTGGCAATTGGCAAAGCAATAGGTGGTGACCCACACGTGGTGGGGCCCAAAAATATTCTATATCAACCATGCACAATGAGGTGACGTGCCCCACTAAGTTAACTACGCATAGCTATCAATTACCACGTAGGGGTTGTTCACCTGCACCCACCATCAACGTCAATTTGGAATTATCAGAATCTAAGCCAGGCACGTTGTTCTTCTTCGTAGACGGTGATGGACGCACCCGTATGACTATAGCATATTTAGGTAGTAACACACGGAGTGTAGCGTAATTTCGTTCCCGTACAAGACGCCGACGATAAAAGATTTGACTCGTGGACCGAATTGAATACTTTAGCTTCTTTCTTCAAAAGAAAAAAAAAAAAAAAAAAGAATAAATGGCTAGTCGGTAGACACCCGGCAGCAAATCTCTCAGAAGGGTTGCATTTACGTAATCGTACGTCACTGTCACCATTATTGACTTAACACAAAGTTTGACACCCTTTATTTATAACAAATTATAAACCTTTGTTTATTTATTATTATTATTTAAATTTAAAGTAATTTGATAGTTTTTGTTTTGGCTGGTCACTTTGTAGCATTTATTATCCATGTATGTAACATGGGTTCATTCATTCAATCGAAAGCAGCAGAAAGTGGCAGCCAGGAAGAGCTGGACGAAGACAAAGGAGCACAGAATCTGATCATCGAAACGGAAATGTATCTCCGACCCCGAGATTTCCCAATTTGTGAAACCTTAACCCTAATCGCAGAGATAGTTGATTCAAACTTTTATGGGTGAGGAAGCAGTACTAGAGCACAGATGAAATGAAACCCTACTGGGGTTTTGAACAAGTCAGAAGAGAGAATCACCACTTTCATCGTTTCATGATGAACTATAGCATTAATCGCTCTCTTTAATCTTACTTTGTTTTTCTCGTAAGAATCACTACTAGCTAATTCTGACTTCATCTTCTTTAATCTTCCATTATGTTCGATAAGTGTATTTTTTTTTTTCAATTATTCATTTGTTTCTAACTTTTCTTTAAAAGTGAATTCTTATTGTTTTGCTATTCGTGCGAAGAAAATAAAAAACGGAAAAGAAATACTGATGAGTCCTTGGAGGTATCATTTAATGCAGGCCAGCTTCGAAGTCGCCGATCGTCCTCGATTTCGTATTTTGATCGCTTCGATTTCCATAGATATTATCGTCGCATTTAAAGCGCTGGGATTCGGTTGATCCATCGAGTGATCGATCTTCTTCTCTTTCTGTTATAAAGATCTCTGGGCTTAAAGCTTTTGATCTTTTTCCTTGCTTTCGTGCTTCATTTAAGAGGAGTAAAAGAACATGGGAAGAGCTCCATGCTGTGATAAGCAAGGACTGAAGAAAGGACCTTGGTCACCCGAAGAAGATGAGATCCTAGTTGAATATATCAAAAAGCACGGCCACGGTAGCTGGAGATCTCTTCCTAAGCACGCAGGTTAGATTTGTTTTTGTCATTCTTCCCTTTTACTGGCCATTATTCATTAAAGATCAGACTCTCTGATCGGCTGGAATGGTCATTTATTCTTGAGAAGCCTTCTTTATTTTTCTTTTCCCCTTTTGTTTTCCCCCCGAAAAAAAAAAATCTTGAAGTGGCGTAGAGAAAAGGAATGAATGAAAAAAAAGGTGATGCTTCCCTTGGCTCTCTTTTGAGGAAGTATTTGTCTATTTGAACTATGAAGTTCGCAGAGTTCTTTTTCTTTTTCTTTGAATACTTGAGAGTTACGTTGGGTCATGGTATAGTTTTTCAAATGAAAGAGGAAGACGAGTTTTCCGATCGAGCTGGTTGGTTTTTAGACTCCGTGGAATCGATTTATAGTCGATGCTGCGCATTGTTATCAGTTCATCTCGACACGTTTAAGATGATTCGAGATGCTTTGAACATTTGTTTTGGTTTTGTTTTTTGCAGAAGCTTATTTTATTTATTTTTAGTAATTTGTCTTCGTTAAAATCAAAATTAATTAACCAGAGGATTCTGGGACGTGAAGAGCATTTTCGGTTATTACTTGTTAGTATACTGCGTCTTGACTCTTCACTCATGTTTAGCTTCAAATCAAATATTGTTGTAATACCAACTTTGCCTTACTTCCGAATTCCAAGTTGAGAAGATGAAATATACAAAATACATGAATCTAATATAATGATGCATCTTACTTTTTTTTTTTTTTGTTATTTTTGAATAAGTAACTAAGAGGCTGTAGCTTTGGGAAGTGCATTTGCATGCTTTGAATGATGAGTGACCCTACTTTCTGTAGAGATGAGATTAAAATAAGGGTATAGTCTCTTTCTCTAATTATGAAGGAGTTTAATGAGTGTCGGCTGTATGAATCTAGGCCTGTGCGATGATATTGATGACTTTGTCATATGCATTTGTTACTTGTCAACGTAAAAGCTGTGATCCTGTTCTTTGGTTGTTGTTCATTATGATTTATGAATGAACTGGGTGGGGGGCTTATATATGCCATGGCAGGACTTCTGCGTTGTGGGAAGAGCTGTAGACTTCGATGGACGAATTATCTTCGACCGGACATCAAGCGGGGTCCTTTCACCCACTCTGAAGAGAAGACTATTATCCAGTTGCATGGCATTCTTGGAAACAGGTTCTCTCTCTATCTCTCTCTCTCTAACTTTGAAGTAAGTTGACGACTGTGTTTTATCGATCCCTAACCGGCCGGTCAACCCTAATAACCTTGTGATGCTTTCAACCCACTACGTGTTCATATTTTAATGTCCAACTGGTATATGTTCCCCCACCCCCGGCATGTCACACACTGATTAATTGCAGATAAAATGGGTCCACTTCGAAGTTGAACTGTGAACAATCAGGGGAGCTAATCCATCTCCATTCTCCAAGACCTCAAAAATTAAATTCGTATCACAGAGAGAAGTTGCTAAAGAAAAGCAGATTTCTCATTTCTGTGTGATATGTGTAATATAAGGCCAGATTGACTAGAACAAGAACCGCTTGTATGAGATCATCGTTTAATTTGATCAGAGCACCACATTAATTAGAAAAAGGGTGACACTGTTTGTTTAACGTCCAATTGTCAAAGTTGTCGGTGTCGTCGATTGGACACTGACATGGATCGTGTCAAACAGCATAAGCAAGTTCAATTTGGTTGTGTTTTTGGTGATGAAGAATTTAAACCCACTTAAGCTATTAAAAGAAAGGGGATTGCAAATAATTTTTCGCTTGATTGACTACCGAATCGGCTCTCCATTTTTACGCCGGGGTAGATCTATTTATTGCAAACTTGCTTCCGTTCTGTTCGAGCTTTGAGTACTGAAACTGAAGAGGGTGAGTTTTACAGGTGGGCTGCCATAGCATCCCAGTTGCCAGGAAGAACGGATAACGAGATCAAGAATTTCTGGAACACCCACTTGAAGAAGCGCCTCCTCTCCATGGGTCTCGATCCACAGACGCATGCTCCTCCCGCCCTTTCCTCTGGGCTTATAGTCACTCCATCGGCATCTCCTTCGACGCGCCATATGGCACAATGGGAGAGCGCTAGGCTCGAAGCGGAGGCTCGGCTGTCAAGGGAATCGTTACTCTCAAACCATCCATCTTCTTCTAAGAAATCCGATACTGATTACTTTCTACGCATGTGGAATTCTGAAATTGGGGAATCGTTTCGGAGGGTAAACGGGCGAGAATCGTTGGCATGTCAAAGCCCCATGTCCCAGGCATCGTCATCAACGAAATGGGGATCAGGGATGACAACAGAGGTGGTGCCTGCGGCAATGGCGGTTGCACTTACTACAGATCAACCCGAAAGGGTGCAGTGTGGAAACAGCAGATCGGATGCGGAAGAGGTTGCAGCTAGGTCAGACTGCTCGAGCTCGAACGAGCTGGATGAGTCATCAGAGACGTCATTGCAACTGCTGTTGGATTTCCCAGCCAGCGAAGATATGAGCTTCTTTCAAGGACAAATGGGCAGTTTCTCCTTGTTGCCTAACATGCTAAGCGAAAGTTCCTTGAATTCTACTCTTTGAACCATGACCTGGAAATTGGAGAAGAAAAGGAAATTACCATTTTTGTCGTCCCTTTTACGGGCTTGTGGTTTTTGAGTAAATCATGTTTTGAGTTTGAGCTGGTGTCGCTATATAGATAATAGGGATAATATTATTTCCCCTCTCTTTCTCTCTCTGTGTCTCTTGGTGCGTGGTGGCCTTTTTCTTTCGGCTGGTGGCATTTTGTTGATTTCTCCGGCTATTGTAGAAAGTAAAAGAAGGGGCGGCCCTGGTTTGGTTGACGATGTACGGTTGAGTAGATATATACACTAAATACAGTTGGAAATATTATTGATTTATTTTTGTCGATTGGTTTATCGGGTTGGGGAGTGAATGGACGACGAAGAGGGAGACCGGATCTGTGAAACATCTTCCGTACTGAGAGCAGATCCCGTCACACGAAGAGGTGGTTGTTTATACCCTGTACGTACTGAGATGAGCTCGGCAAATGCGCATGTATGTACAACAAAGACGAAGCAACGTAACACTTGCTGAGAAGAGTTTTGTATGTGTTGTGACAGTTGGATTTGGGTAATGAGTATATCTAAATTATCTAACATCGCAGCCACACATGGAGAATATCTATCTCATCCTCTTAGATAGTATTATGCAGGAGGAGATGTTCTCAATTCACCGGAGGTAGTGTGTTATGGGTGGACATGGGCAGAGTTCTTATGAGCAGGAGATCCAGTTTCAGTTTACATCTATTGATTGGATGATGACGAAACGGTGTGTTGTGATCAAGGTTCAAAGTATCAATACGTATTGGTTAATATGTATCGTTCCGGGGCCCCTTCAATATGCCCCTACTATGGGTGTATTAGAGATTTGACCGGTTCAAGGGATAGAGGAAAACTAAACTGCCCCCCCCCCCCAAATCGGTTGCAAAAAAAAATAAAAAGAAAGCAACTAAAATGTGTATGGATTTGCCCGATACACCCCTATCGGCATATTAGGCATAACGATATTTTGAACCTTGGTTGTGATGACCATGCGAGTGGTGCACCCCTAATAGACGACTTGATCAATAATCAATACCTATTTAACGTACTCTTTATTCCAAAAAAAAATGACTAGGGCTCTTAATTTAGTGCTCAAAGTTTGACAAGATTGAGCTATTGTTGCGTGAGTGAGCACTCCACTGATCTAGTGACACGTGGCATTTGTCTTTGCTGTTTGACACCTTAGTGCCATGCGGATAATAGCATATCTCGCCAAGTCAAGGAGACACCCCAGAATCAATCCAGGGCACCTCATGCACAACTTGGGCACCTCAAACGTAACTCGGGCACCTTGGCAGGGCGAGTAGTAGCATCTCGTCCTCGAGGACTTGCCAACCTGACTGAGGTCCAAGTGGTGACCTGCGAGATGTGCTCGCCGACCTCATCCGCGTGCGTCCTATCATTCTTGGGTCCTCTGCATGCGAAATTACCTTTGAGGACTTCGGGTCGATAGCCACATCTTCCCAGAGATCTCGGACACAGTGCGTGAAGCTCGCACCAAACAATGCTTATATAAAGATCTCACTTCCAACCTCATAAGGTACGCACGATTTAACAATCAAAGTCTCTCTCTCTCTCTCCCTCTCTCTCTCTCTCTCTCTCTCTCTCTCTTGCTTTCTACCTCTCAAAAACTCCAACTTGCTGACTTAAGCATTGGAGTGCCCACACCGGGTAAAAGTAACCTGGGTACTCTGATCTTCTCTCTTTCTTTGTAGCTCAACCAAGCGACCCACATAGTCCAATATCCGAGCTGTCCTCCAGTAGGGCTACTAGATCGCGGACCATCAATTGGCGCCGTCTGTGGGAACACTACACAAAGCCAAGTTCTCACCTTTCTCTAATCCTAAGTTCAATGGCATCCTTTGGCAACAATGTCTTCAACAACGCTAATAGAAACACACGTATTGATGATGCTATCACAAGGGGGGGGCAGAATCTGAACAACCAGCTCGAGTAGGCTTCAGAGATCTGGCCTAGATGACCCATCACTATCTGCAAGGCCGCACTATAGATTGAGCCCTCCATGTTGGTAGCGAGTTGATTGTGGAGCTAGCCTCGCATGCCGAACCCCTCATGGTTCCCGTGAGAGTCAGTGACCTGCAGATAGTAGAGCTGCCCCCTCAGGTTGAGCCTCCCATGGCACTCATATGAATGGATGACTAGTAGTTCCAAGAGCATGTGTAGCACATGTGTGGCATTGACCAGTGAATACAGACTCGGGAGGGTCCCCCCCGCGATGGCATAGGTGCAGCCGCGATTCATGCCCGGTTCCCAAATGCACCTGCAATCATATATAGTACAACTGATAAGCTCGCGGGGTGAGCGTAGTTCTGACCTAGTCGAGCCAAATTCTGCTTCTAGCACTCTAGCTAAGGCACACTCGAACTAATCTCAAGGGACATCAGCATTTCATGGCCGACCTGATAAACAAAAAGGGGGGGAAAGGCGAGGAAGGGAAGACTACTAAGCTCATAGGCCTAGTGTATAGCTGTCTTGAAAATGTTTTTTGGTCAATTATTTTTGGATATCACATCTTTTCCATATCATCAAACCCTATATGGAAAGATAGATCCTCCGCTAATCGTCATTCTAGTCGCCACCCTCACTATCACACTCATCACCGTTTCCCTCCTACGGAGTAGTTGCCTCTTGCTCGACCTCTTGGGTAAGATCGTCCAGAACCGACCTAAGCTAGATAGAGCCCAAGTCAATGTCTGAGTATAGGTGTTGAAGAAAGCGGTGGCATAGCTTGAAGCCCCTCTTCAGAGAGGGTACCGCCACTTCAATTTTCTCGTGTTCAAACTACGAAGATCGACAAAAGCGCTCCACAATAGCAACTTTGGCTCGATGAATATCATCAGAGTGCCTAGCCCATTGTTCTTGGAGCTTGCCGTTCATACTAGCAATTGTCCCCCCTAGCTTCTTCTAGCTCGTGGTTCATACTCGCGCTAAGGGAACAAAACCACTGTCGGTCCTCCTCAGCACTAAGATAGGCTGCTTCTAGCTAAGATTGGAGGGTCTCTGTATTGGCCCTCGTCTCGTGGGATTCACACTTCCAGGCAATGACTTGATCCAGCATGACTTGGCCCAGTGAGTTGATCTGTGGACAAAAAAACAACTTGGTAAGGGATAAATAAAGCAGCGAAACAAGTTTTTCCAAATATGTATACTTGCATGGCATTCTGAATGATTCGTGCACTGACTTCAAAGGGATTAAGCTCATGATACGCGTAGACATCTTTAAGAAGGAGAATGCCCCTTCTCATACGAAGTGCCACATCAAGTCATGAACCCGATCGGCGATCAAGCAATTGACCTAGGGAATGAATGGAGGAATTTTCGGGCCATAAGGAGTCATTGCCTCATCGAAGTGGGACGCACTTGCTAGTGGTACTGGAGCAACATGGGTAGGTTCAGTTTGAATTGGGTCGATGCGCTCCTCCAGGTCAACCGCAACACGACGACCTTCCGTCGACCTCTCTTCGACCGCATGGCAACCACCCTCCTCTTCTTCTTAGACGGCTTTCGTGTTATGTTTACGATCGAAGAAAAGCTTGTCATCTCTGCGATCAAATAAAAAAAACTCAACTGAGGGACAAAGGGCCAGAAGCAAAATTCGAAGGTAATGAAAATAGTGCCACCTACATATAGGAAGGCTGGCCTTGATGAGCATTGGTTCGGCTAGGAACTCGTCGACCAAGGAGCGCCATTCAATGAGGAGTCTAAGGTCATTCAGCAACTCCTTGTTAAACTCGACTTCATATCTTCTTGGCTCGGCACTCCATGTCTTCGACATTGGCCAGCCTTCCTCATGACTCAGAAAGAAGAACTTTGTCTTCTATTTCGCGATTTTGGATGGAATACATCACAAAAGTTTAAACTTAGATCGGTGGCTGATGTAGAAATAGTAGGTATCGTTGGAAACCTTCCTTGTACTGCATAGCCCCAAGAAGACATCTATATCTAAGGGGAAACCGAGGTGATAGCTAAGAGAAATAGTGCCTGCAATGGTCTTGATTGAGTTCGGGTGCAGTTGACCTAGTGCCAAACCGTAGTGTTAGAGGATTTCACAAATAAACGGATGAAGGGGAAAGCAGAGCCTTGCAATGAGGGCTTCCTTGAAGACACAAACCTCAGTCTGTTCCACTTCCTGGCTCCATGGATATTGCCCGTCCTTGGGCTGGATATAGCTCAAGTTATTAGGGATTTGATAGGTAGTAATTAGACCCACTATCCCCTCTCTGGGAACCTCTTCGCTCTTGAGCCAAGGACCCCCCTCGGCTCGAGCATCTGGGTAGCACTCTTTCTCCCACCCGCTAGACGTGACTAAGAGGAAATAGAGACTCATTGACAAGAAGAGGAAAAAAGACGGGTTGCCAAAAACTACCACCGCCAAGCCGGAGATTGTCAAAGCTTCACCAATCTTCGGCCTAGCGTAAGTCCAAAATAGGATAGTGAAATGGCGCCCTTGAGGGTCCCCCAATTTACAAATAGAAGTGTGGACAATCAACGGACCAGATTTGCCCAATCCAATGGTCCAGGAAGAAGCCCACGTTCGAAATTTTGAAAGGTGCGCGTGCCATAGTTCAAAATTTGAAAGTGCACCCTAATTCGAATGTTGAGAAGTCATGCCCAATTTCAAGTGCACGCCTATTTTTAGACTGAAAATGTTGTCTTTACGCCAATAATAGCCCGATAGGTTGGCCAACTCAAGTGGACTGACTCATCTGACGTCTAGAGCAAGTCAACTCGGGCCTCATCTTAAAAAAAGCTACACCCTTCGCCGAACTGGCCTTGGCTCGAGTGTGGGGGGCAACTGATGAGGGGTGATTTGGCCCTCCATTGACCTAGCAACATGTGGCATCCGCTTTCGTTGCTTGACACCTCAGTGCCATGCGGATAGTCGTGTATCTCACCAAGTCAAGGAGATGAACCTTGGAATCAGTCCAGGGCACCTCATACATAGCTTCAGCACCTCGACAGGGCACCTCATACGCAACTTGGGCACCTCGGCAGGGTGACTAGCAACACTTCATCTCGAGCCGATCTATGGTACCTCAGGTACCTCGTTGTTATTGGTCCAAAGGACCTTGGCATGAGAAGTGACCTCCCTTGAGGACTTAACAACCTGGCTGAGGTCTAGGTGGCGACCTACGAGACATACTTTCCGACCTCCTCCGCGTGCATCCTATCACTCCCAGGTCCTCTGAAAGTCAGCTCCTACACCAAATTTCCGGAGGAAGGGGCAAAAGCCTAATTTACATGCCAAACTACTTCCAAGGATTTCAGACTGGTCAGCCACGTCTTCCTAGAGATCTCGGACGCAGTGTGTAAAGCTCGCCCCAAACAATGCCTATGCAAAGGTCTTACTTCCAACCTCATGAGGTGCACATGATTTAGCATTCAAGCTCTTTATCTCTCTTTGTGTGTCTCTCTCTCTTGCTTTCTAGCTTTGAAAAACTCTAACTTGCTGACTTAAGCATTAGAGTGCGCACACCGGATAAAAATAGCTCGGGTACTTTGGTCTTCTCTCTTTGTTTGCAGCTCGGCCAAGCAACCTACATAATCCGGTGTCCGAACTGTCTTCTAGCAAAGAGCTACCAAATCTCACACCATCAGCAACCATGTGGGGGTGGGACCAAGGGAGTTGGATTAAGTAGTGTCAAGATTGATATCTGAAAGTCCGTCGCTCCTATTTGGTATCTTATCTCATTAAATCTGAATCTAATTATATTAAAATATTTATTGATTTTAATATATAAATTTTATATAATATATTATATATGAATTTATATATATAATAAATTCAAAATATTATATTTATATGAATTTATTATAAATAAAAATATTTTTTTATTTATTGTATTTTAAAAAAATTAAAGTATAATTAGATTAAATCTAAATCTCTCAAAAATCAAATTAGAATCCAAGATTTTCAAATCAGATCAAATTTTGGATTGGAGGCCCATATCCAATATCCACACCACACTAGGGCCTAGGGGGCATCGTGGCTCTCCCGTCTCATCTGCAGACGCGCAGTTATGGGTAGGTAGGTTGGTGACACGCGTGTGTGAGTGTGACAGACAACAAAAGAGATGGAGGGTGGAAAGTGGTCCAATCAGTATTAAATGGGGTCATGTGGACTGCAGGTGGTTCAAGTTAGCATTGACTGTTTCAATTACGAATTCGAAAGAGATGTACGTGTCGCAGAAGACTCTGTGTGATGTGTCGGACGATTTCTTCTCACTCTCTCCCCTCTTAGTAAATAGGAGAGAGGGGGTAACTCTGGTATAATATATCAGTCAGGGCCCAGAGGAGTGAAAGATGACATTGGCTTGTTCATTCATTCATTCAGTCGCATCTTCGGTTTTACGTAATTTTTTACTTGGAAAATGCATGGCTTCATAAATGATAAATGTTGGTGGCTTTTGTTTTTCTCCGCACGGTCTCCGTGTTCAATCGGCAAGCACCAGAACCAGAAGCCAGACCAGCATTCAAGGAGATTCTTTTTACACGGATCCGCTTATACAGTGGGCTTTTTAGTGGTAGACCTGAGAATGAGAAGAGGCCTCTCCTTGTTCTGCCAACTGAGCCCAGGGGTTCAGCCTCTTTAGTTTAATATAATCCTTTGCCACTGATTTCCAATTTCGTCCCTCTTAATTGATAGTGGTATGCTTCTAACCCATGTTATATTCTTTATATTCTTTTTGGTTTTTTGGGACATTCATCTAATGTCTGTTTATCTGCACTTCAAATTTGAATTAGCATCTCATTGATCAATTTTATATTCATTTTTTTGTAACTATGATTTACTGTCCTACCCAATACTTTTTTTTATAAGCAAAAGACCAATTAAACTTAAAGAGAAATACAGGGAGATAGGTTCAGCCAATTGGGAGCATTCTCCCAATACCAAAAAAATTCATCAGATTTAGCCTTTTGGACTACTTGATGAGCAAGTTCCCTAGGCTTGAACAGAATATTTACAGAGGAAAAGTCATGACATAAATTATTAATTTTTTCAATATAAAGGTTCAGACGCTTATCAAAAAGAATTTTCAAACTTCCATCAAAAGCTCCTGATGTCGTGCGATTTGGAAACTCCCTCTGTCTGAATTCTGATTCGGATATCTTCTGGTTAGGGTCGAGCTGTGTAAGGCCAAGCTGAAAGGTGGCCGAGCTGATGTATACTGCAAGAGAAAAAGAGCTAGAGTGTCTGGGTGTCTTTTACCGAAGGAGAGCACTCTGGTGCTTAAGTCAGAAGAAGCTTGTGTATTCTTTTAAGAGATTGAGAGAGCTAGAGAGTACGTAATCGTGCATACTTTTCACAGGTAAAAATGAGTACTTTTTATAGACGCTAGTGGTCACAGCCCCCTTGTAATGGGATTGACCTTCTTGCGGAACCATTTTCACTTTGTTGGGCGCGTTAATGTGTTGGTTACGAGATCTACACAGAGATTACGATCTACCTGAGTTAACTCCAAGGTGTGTGATGCAGTAGGCCAGTCTAACGGTCGAGATATTAGCGCTCCGGGGATCTTGGCTTGGTAACGTAGTAATGGAATAGGTCAGCAAGCTCTTCCTCGCAGGTTGCCATGGATTTTTACATCTCGGCTGGCTTCTAAGACAGGTCACCGTAATCTTACAAAGTCTACTAGTTCGGCCTTGTTGAGGTGGAGGTTGGCTTGGTCGAGGTGCTCTAAACTAACTTGTCGAGCTAATTTACTTACTCAACGCTAAGATGTCACTCAAAGGTCACATGTCGCAATATGATTGGGAGGACCAAATCACCCCTCATTCATCAACTCACACTAAGACTTCCAGGGGATTGCATACAGAATCAACCTTATTATCATAGGCGCATAGAAAGTTAAAATAGCAGTCCAACAAAACAAAGCCAAAAGCTCCTTGGTTATTTCTTTGATAACCCCATCACATATTATTATTATAGATTGTTCATTTAACATGGTGGGATTGTTTTCCTGAGGAACTGGATTTGTGCGGTGCAAATTTATACTTTTTTTTTTGTGTTAATTGCCTTCCTTGGCAGTGCAAATTTTGCATCATAAAAACTGATGCAAAATTTGCACTACATTCCCCTTGCACTAAGGACTGCATTTTACTTCTCATTTCTCAAAATAGAATAAAACAAAAGCAAATCAGAATTTACACTCAGCTTATTTGCACTTCCAAACATTTTACACCAAATTTGCACTGCAAACAAACTAAGCCTACGTATCCACCACATAGGGCCAGGGAGTTGTTTGGGAACATGGTAATTTCCATTTAATTCACTTCTTGAAAATGGAAACAATCCTAAAACTACAAGATGGGTTTGTTGAAGGCCTCTTTTCAGACAATACATGGAGAATGATCACTGCAGATTTCATAAAATGAAGCCATTTTTGAAAACCCAAAGGACTGTCAATTGTTAAGGAGGAGAAAACATTTTTTCAACTAGTGAAGTTCAAAAAGTTCTCTAACCATGCAATGCAGCCACCAAGATATCTAGACCACCTTTGATTCTCTCTAGTCTCTACCGGAGATAGTAAAAGATCAATCAATGCAATCCTTTTTCTTTTTGCCTCTTCATTTGTAATTTGCAAGTAAAACTACAAGTTGTGTAGAACCTGACCTCACTCGATAGGAGCACAAAGTCATACTCCCAAAAATTGCTACTTCTTGAAAGTGTTTCCCATCTTCCAAAGAACGACTTACATTTCAATTATCTCTGTGTTACTTCCTGATCTTCACACACAAGCAAACTTATTTAGAGGTTAGGTAGGGAGCTACCAAAATAAAATGCTTCTGAGAGTAATTGTTCATTGCAAGAGCCCAAAAACCGTGAAGAATATTTTCAAACATTGTTTTTTCACAATTAATTAATGCAAGTTTTTTAATTTGTTTATATACACACAAACACATCAAGCATTCACACTAAATGAACATTTGCTTTATCTCCACCAAACACAAGCAATAAACAGCAAACAAACATAAAAAGGAAATATACAAATGAAAAAATCAAACATTTTCCCACTTCTATTTGTCAAGCTTGAGAATTTCAACATCAAAAGCACCCAAACAGCTTCTTTGGGGCAGTCCCTTTTGCACGGTACTTTGCAGCCAACTCTTCTGCCTTGAGTAGATCTTCCCCACGTTTGGCTTCAACCATGGCTTTCTTTTCTTCTGCTTCTTTGTGGATTTGAGCTATCATGTTTTTCATTTTCTCTGCATATTCTGCCTTCCTCTTCTCATATTCTTCCTGTTGCACCAAATTATTTGCCAATACAACATATATGTGTTAGAAATGGAGCAAGAGTTTCTTTGACCACATCTCTTTTTTCTTTTTTCTTTCTCTTCAGATAACTCCATTGAGTTTTCTGTTTGTTTAAGGCTTTTCTCAATTCATTAGTTTTTGAGCTTTTCTTGTTCTCTTTATCATCAAAATTGAAGATAGACTTTGAATTCTTTTTCAGCCAGCATTTTTTGGGTAGTCTTTTGAAAAAAAGAAAAAAAAAAGAACCAGATAAAAAATGCAGGAGTAAGTTTTAGCCTTAACTGAGCTGAGTACCATGTTACAGACATTAATGAAGTAATTAATGCTCAACCTGAAGATGAAATATTAGAAAAATGCAAACAAGAAAGAGCAAAAGCTTGAAGCAAAATCCAGAGCATAGGTAAAGGAAAATACTGGATTGTTGTTTGGAAGCTGATAATAAGCTTGGCTTATCTTGCTTCTCCTTTTGATTAGGAACATAAGGTTTCATTTTTTTTGGGTCCATAACAACAATTAGATCAGTGCTATAACTAGAGCTGAATAACCAATAATCTCATGGCACTTATGTTACCATGTTTTTCTAGATTCTTGCATAGAATATGGTTGTATCCTGTATGGTGTTCACAACTTTTGATTAAGTGTAACATGGATTTGGGATTTTTGATGCCATATCACGATGTTAAACTAGAAAATTGCTAGTCTTTCTTGCTAACTAGAGACAACAAAATATATTTTCTCACATAAACTGTTTTCAAGTGTATTGCTTGGTGACATGATAGAATCTCCATTTGACAGGCATAAGAACACAGGTTAAGAAAATGTCAAAGGTTAGGTCCATATCCAGCCTACCCGTCCCAAAATCACCAGGACCATCACTGGATATTGACTAAGTTGTTCTCAAGTGCATCAAAAAGCATGATAAATTTAAAAGGACATCCACAAAATGGACTAATGAGTTTACCTCCTTCTTTTTCAGTTTAGCTTCTACAGATGCTTTCTTGCTGTTCTCCCATGACCCAATTGTTGACAATTTTTTCTCTGCCCTGTTCAATTGTTTCAGTATGATTAAGTTTCAGTTCCAACATGTAGTATGATTTTGGTTTAAAGGAGAAGCAAAGTACAAATATACAATTAAGTCAAGTCTCAGAAGTTTCAAATCAACTCCCAGTCTACCTCAGAGAAAAAACCAGTAACAGGACAGCATTTTGCTTTTGAAGATCATCTAATTTATTGTTTCTTTTTGAAAGCCCATCTATTTATTGTGACCATTAAGTCAGGTGATTTATAAAATTTGGGGTGTACTTTTTTACTCAACCACCAGTCAAGTTGCAGAGTTCCTGAGAATATTGGTATGTTTCAGAAAGATGAAAATATGAAAAGAACTTTCCTGAACATAAAGGCAAACATGATAATAATACTATATATGTGAATATGATACAAAAGTTTATCTGAAGAACATACATCAAATTTAGAAAAACAGGGACAGCATACATGAAATTTAGAAAATTGTAGAGAAGAGTGGAGATATATACCCAATGTAGGTTGATAAAAATGCAAAACATGGTTCAATGAATGGTGTCATAAACTCTTCAATGCCGACCATTTTTCTTTCTTCTTCTTTCTTTACATTGTTTGCAGTTTTCATAAATTTTCTCTCTCCACCAAAGAACTTCAATAGATTTGTATACAAGAGCCAATATTTAATACGCTTATGATAAAGTCCTAGTTTTAACAGTGATGACACACCATTGTTTCCATTATTAGCATGTTTACCCATTATGGGTACCTGTGTCAAACAGTACAGAGGCACATGGAGGCAACTAAGGCAAAATACAACATATGAAGGCTTCTAAGAAGGACAACCCATAAGAATGACAAGTGGAAATTTGCGATAGCAGGGCCATATAGTTATACAAATTCATATAATTCAATCTAAGGTTGTTTCTAATCACCATGCATGAACAATTACTAAATTCTTTCTCAAACAGAAGTACAATGAAATCTCTTACTTGTTCTCAGCTTTTGTTTTTTCACTATCTTCCCATGCTCTGATTAGGGACAACCTCTTCTCGGTTTCAACTCGTGCAAGGACAGCATCTAAAGAATATATGAAGGAAACAATTTATCTATCTAAAGATTAGCTGCCCATAGTAGGTCGGATGCTAAATCAACACTTACCTCTATTATCTGATTTCTCCTCTGTAGGTTCTGGAGCCTCTGTTATTGACAGAAGAGCATGCAAATGGTTTAGATGTTAAACAATACCAAATAGGCAAATATTATTTATTGTTTTTTATCAGAAACTATAATATATTGTTTTAATCATCCATCATGAGAGAACAATATTGTTCTGCATTTCACAGAGAAACCTAAGAGCAATGGTATCTATCTTCACTTCAACAAGGAAAAGTAAATTACCCACATCATTAGAACTGTTGCATCAAAGTCTAGGAATTTTTTACATTTATGTGCCAATGGTAAAATTTCAGGCTGAAAAGCGTAAAATATGAGCTCAAGTCCAAGAGCAGCTACTTTGTGCAAAAGAAAAAAAAAAAGGGGTGAAGTCCATACCGAGTCCACCTTCCCAAGACCCCAGATATCTGGGATCAACATTGCGAAATGATATTTTTATGTGCCAATATTTACCCACATATTGATCATATAGAAGAACTGAACAACTTGTATTATTATTTGGCTACCAAAAAGCACCAACTTTAAGTTTCACATACTAGTGAGCTCAAAAAAACAAAACAAGCTCCAAGACAATAATATTGAATCACACAGCTAACAGCCATATATTTTAATTTCCTTTTTTCCCTCCTCTTAGGTTGTGTTTGGTTTGAAGGAAAAAGTAGGGAAAGGCAAGGAAACCCATACAAGGTTTGTAAAGGTTTCCCTTCCTTTCCCTACTTTTTCCTTCAAACCAAACATAGCCTAATAATGAAGCATTTATTAGATGATGCGAATGCTCCCTATCCCTGTCCGTGATATATGGAACAACAGGGCATAGGAGTCGAGAGGAGGAGGCAGAAGGAATCAGGAAGAAGATTGATTTCCTTTCAGTCTGAGTATCTTCTGTTATCTTGCGCAACATGATATCTATGGGACACAGCATAGTTAACTCCAAGTAAGTTCACCAGATGAAATAAAGTAAACCATCACAAGAAAAGGAGTAAAAAGGAATTCTGTTTCAATTTAAAACCTACAAAGGAAAGCAAGGGTGTCAAGGTAAAATCCCATCAAACTCATGGCTTTTTGATACCATTTCAACATAACTTGACATAAAGAAGTATCTTCAAGCTCAAAACCCGAAACAGGGGTTGATTAATTTTTAGGCCAGGAATACAGCCTTGATCATAACAGATCATTAGCAGAAAAATTTACACAAGTACGAGGGTATTCCATGTAGAGCAGATGAAGCCAATAGGTTATGAAGTCTTGAGAAAGTACTCATAAAAGGAGAAAAAGCCAAAAAGTAGAATCCCTCGTAATTGGACATCTAACAAAGCAAAAGCAATCATCGCTTCGGAATCTTAGAAAGTCAGTCCACCCCAAGAGAAATAGTCTGAAACCAAAAAGAAACTATAGTCTATACAACGATACCAGATCTCAAGGAACAATCTCAAAAAGGGGAAAAAATTATTGAAACCTCTCTGCTCTCAGTTATCACTATAAGAGCAGGGTCTAAGAAGAAGTACTTTTCAGTCCATCCAATTATCCACAATAGAACTTCAATTCAAAAGGAATCTTTGTTTTTTGGTAAGCAATTACAAAAACGAATCTTGAAAATTAAAAAAGAAAAAATCACATATTTGTATACGCTCTCGCTCTGGACAAAAAAGATTCAAAAGGAATATTTTAATTTATTCAGAAGATTATTAATTATAATTACCAAATCATCACTCATAAATAAAAACACAAAACGAGGAAATAACCAAACGAGACCTCAAAATTTCCTCTAGCTTCTAAAAGGCATGGGAAAATAATCTGTAATAATAAGACACATATCACTTTATGGTAATTCCATCAAACTGAAAGTATGAAAAAACAAACACCAAAAACAAGAACAACCATGAAGGAACTCCAGTCGTTCGATAGTAAATTTAAGGAGATTGAAGAATCTCATGATTTCCTTGACATACCGACCAGAAACAACCAAAAAAGAAGATGAAGATTTTACCAAAGTTCCAAATAACGACCGAGAATCGAATTAAAAAAGAACCACTGGAGATGGTGAAAGCCTTTGAATTTCAGAGAAGATAATAAGGAAAACCAAACAGAGAGACGCAAGTTATATCTCTAAAAGTCTAACATATGCTTTGAAAGAAGTAGAGTTAAGCTTAAGAACAAACAAGAAAGAAAAACCAGGAGCAGACCTTTGGGTTCATCGACCTTGCCTTCGGGAGGAGGTGGGATTACAGCTTTCTCTTCTGCAACGTCTTTTGGAGCTACGACAGTTTCAGGAGGAGGCGGTGGTGGTGCAGGCTCAGAGGCTGCCTCGGCCTCAACTTTTTTTACTTCTTCCTCTCCCATGTGTTCACCAAACCCTCAGCCGACGCAGTAACAGAATGGGTCCTTCAAATTTAGCGAAATTCGCCAAAGAAAGCAGAGACAAAGAAGAAACACGCTTCCAAAATCGGCAACTAATGCTACTGGCTGCTGGAAGAAGCCTTGAGCATAGCCCCCCACTTAGCTTAGGTAGGGGAGAGGAGAGCAGAGAAGTTGGTAGAAATAGGAGAAAGGGTGGGCGGTGACACCTCACACCTGACAGACGGAAGACAAAAGAGTGATGACAGATACTGCAATGGATTGGGAAATTATATATTGTTTATTTTTTTGAAGAAAGGATGATTGAAGAGCCGGAAGTACCAAAGTACCCCTGCTTTCTTAACGAAATGATGGAAGGTTGTAGCCGAATGGTTTGATGTTGTAAACTTACGATTGGGTTTTAGCTGTGAGGACTGAGGAGGCTTCAGTAAATTCAGTAAATGGATATGGATTAGAGAGCAAGAAAGAAGGAAGAAAGATTTATACAGAGTATAGTTTAAAATAAAAGTGATATAGCCGTTGGTTTCAGTAGTGAGGGACGGCTAGCGCTGGCTTTGGAGTTTGGACTGCTCCCTCTGCCTCTGGTGAAAGATTTTTCATTTTTTTCTGGGTAAAAAAATATAAAATCGTCAATGATAATACGAAAATATGGGTTTTTTTTTTTTGTTTGTTTGAAATTGCAAATGCAAATTGAAGGAAGGGATTAGGGAACGAGGACAGAGGACAGGAGGGAGCGTCGCTTTCAGATGGTCATGGTATTGTATGCTTCTGAGAGAAACAGGTAAAGCGGGTAAATCAGTTTTTCATTTTGTTGTTGTTTTGTTAAATGGAAAAAGACGAAAATATCGCAACAGTATCTGGGTTTAGGCTTCGTTTAAGCGTTGTCCATGTGAAGGGTGGGCCCCTATCCTACTTAAATTGAAATTGTCGGCATTCATCTCTTCTTGAAGACGTTTCACTTCACAGTTCACGCTCAAACAGTCCCACTCCAACCTGCCTTTTAACGATTATTCGGAACCTCACGCAACCAAACCTAAGCCTTTTTTAAGGCTTGATTCTTTGTGCAGAGGCCAGAGTTTACTCTCGAATGAATGATGAGAGATGGAGGAAAGGCCAACATCCTTACATACGCTCAGATGTTGCTTCCAAATCAAATAAAATACTTGTTTGTTTCTAAAACGGTGGGGTCAGCCAAATGTTTTGGATTTCTTTTTTGTTTATAGGAATAACAAATTTGCAAGGAGGGTTTCTTGGTTCATAGGCTAGGCTTCCCGCTTCCTCCGCCCGTTCTGTCAACCATGACAGATCATTTTCGTTCGCGCAGTGACACTTGTAACGAAGAACAGATCATCAGTCCTCAACCACCACTAGTTTATCAAGCGAGCAACAACAACTTATGTACGCACGCAAGGCCTCGTTTCAATGTCCTCACAACACAAGACTGTCTACCAACTCCCTCCGCTCGCCACCCACATGATCATAACCCTAATATATCTCACTACAGTTGAAATGTTTGGCTATCGGTTCCAAGAGCTGAGATTCTTCTTCTCTGGTGGAGTGGAGTGGCAGAGTCCCAAGTTGAATGAGTTGATGGAAACTTTACAACCAGAAAGAAAGTGGGTACTTTGATTACCTTGAGGTTTCATAAATCATAATGAACTTTAAGGGTCCCACCCTTCAAAGGATCTGATGATGGATGCAATGCTGTAGGTTATCACCGGCCCCACTAATTTAGACGAATCTCAATTTGATTAATTAAACTAAACCCTATTATTATTATTGTTAGCTTTATATATATCTTTTAGTTTTAAATCTTTAGCTTTTATACTTTCTTCTTTAATTTGCGTTTTGTTTCTCCTTTCCTTCGTATCTTTTTCTTCCCTTTTTTTTTTGCTGTTGGTTCTCATCAAGAAAATAACCATCACATATCATCTATATGTGATTGACATTACTTGTTACAACTTAATTACGAAACCAACTCATCTGGCAGACAGTTGTTAGGAGTCCTTAAAAACGATTCAATCAAGAGAAAAAAGGAAAAAGAAATTAGGACCTAACACGTTGATACAAAAGGGTCTCTGTGAGTATTATTATTAGCACAACTAGCTAGAGCTATGTCTGTCTAATTATCAGTTACAACAGAATGATTGATCATCTAAACATGGTCAGTTCATTAATTAGAATGATTGATTATAAGTATGACCAACTCATCCTCTCCCTCTCAGTGTCGTTGAATGACCGACTCTCACCAGGCTATTGCTATACATATTAACCTCTTGATTACTTAATATTGCCCCTGCAAAAATAAATAAATAAATGCTGGGAACATGTAAAATAAATTAAAGCAAGAAAAGAAATAAATAGTGACTGGACAAATCATGATAAAGTGGTTCAACTAACAAGACTATCTTCACCTATAATCTTATAATAATAAACAGTCAATTCAGTGCTGTTACGTTTTATATAAAAAGAAGGGGTAATAAGGGCAAATTTTGAGGTTTAATATTAATAAAAGTAATATTTTTAAAAATTTTAAAAAATAGGTTAATTTTTTAAAAATGGTAAAAACACTGTTAATAATCTTCTTCTTGCCATTTGTTCACCAGTGCTGCTGCCCGTCGCCGCTCGCCATCGCCATCGGCTGCCGCCTCCACCTCCGGTAGCGTTGCCAGAGGTGGCGGTTGTGGTGCTAATGGTCATTTCTCTGCCCAACGCCGCCACCTCTACCTCCGGCCTCCGGTAACGTTGCCAGAGGTGGCGACGGCAGCGCTGGGTAGAGGAATGACCACCAGCACCGCTACCGCCACCTCTGCCTCCGGCCACCTCCAGCAACGTTGCTGGAGGCGGAGGCGGAGGCAGAGGCAGAGATGGGTGGTAGCGGACGACGGTGGCGAGCAGCGGTGTTGATGAACAAATGGCAAGAAGAAGATGATAAACAGTATTTTGCCCTTTATTATATTATTTTTAAAAAGTTAACATATTTTTGAATTTTTTTTTAAATATTACTTTTATTGATATTAAACCTCAAAAGTTTCCCGCTACTATCCCTAAAAATAATAAAAAAAAAAACATAAAATTTACAGGGGCAGAATCGCAGAATTTACTTTTGGAAAAGATAACTTGATAATCATCACCCCCTTTTGGCTTTTCTTGTCTATCATCTTATCTTATTTCTTTACCAATCATGCATCAAACAGCTCCCTTTACAACGTTATTTCTCATAAATTTAGGCTTGGTTTGGCTTGGGGTAAAAAGTGGGCTCACGAGTAGGGATGGCAATGGGGCGGGTTAAGGGAGAGCTTTGTAAATTCTAGACCTTATGTCCTCCTTAAACCTTTCAATCCGTATCTACTCTAAAACCTATAGCGGGTTAGATTTTGAGAATCAAAACCCTCTTCACATATGAAAGTGCAAAACCCTTCCCAACCCTACTCTCCCCGCATTTAAAGGTAGGGGCAGGTTGGGAGAAATTGCCTTCCCTACCCATGAGTTCTCCTCACTATCCTTTGTTAATGGGTTAATTTTAAACAAAAAAAAAAAAATTACCACGTGGTCAGAATAAAACTCTCTTTTGGTTAAAAAAAAATAATATCAAAATATGAATAATATTGTTAAAAGCACAAGTAGAAACAAGGTGGTTTGGACAAGAGTGCTCAATTGACTTATTTTCCTTAAGATTGAGTCTGATGTTAGATAGGGGCAGCATTAACAATAAAACAGTCTTGGTCCGGGTGTCATTATAATTGAAAATAATGGAGGATTTTAAGGTTACTTAAGACTTAATGGTAGTTCAATTCTGGTTATGGTTACAACTTACACGGATAGATTTCCTTCCATTCACTCTAATTGATGGGAAATAGCTTTTCGTAAATGGTTTTATTTGTGCAAGTGTTCCTTGTAAATTAGTAAAACTTTCAACAACCAATATTACTTGTAAATATATTAATATAAGGTGGGATCCCTTATATAGGCCTGATATGAAGTAGAAGATAGAATAGCTAGCTGTTCAATTTCAAGGATCCCTCATATGGTAGACAGCTTGGATTGGCTATGTCATGCCTTTACATTGTACAAATATGACAGGTTGTGTAGGAAAGCTCCCCACTTGACCGCATCTTCCCTAAATATTCAGAGGCCAGGTTGGTTTGGAGCTTAAAAGTAATAGGAAATGTCTTAAGTTCCTTTCTATATCCTTGTATTCAGGAAAAATTTTGGTCAACAACACTAAATAAGCCCACATTTATAGACAAATTTTATATCAAAAGATCAAACAACCTAAATAGCTAACTAATATTAGTTGTAAAAGGTAGAGTTAATACATACAAGGTAGAGCATGTATGTAGTATAATTGATACGATATGAAGCGGATGATTAAACATGGGATCCATCCAATGGAGCTCTTATCTGATGAACAGGATTCTTTCTTGTAGGTAAGCTCTCTACTCCATTCGGAATTGGAATTGATGTCAGCAATACCAACTTGTATCATTTCCTCCTCTTCCATAATAACATGTGGGAAAGCCAAACCACAGCCACATATATTATATAAGATCATTTACTATTGCCATCTCACCTACTAAATATCCATATTCATTCATTGATGTAATGATTAATGGTTTGTACTGGGGCATAGCCTGTTGCCTCATTCACATATTAAAATATGGTTGATGTTGATTGATGAGATGGTATCTCTAGGTCTGATCTGTTGGTGACCTACCTCTCTTCCCTTCTTCACCCTCCACATATAATATAAATTAACTAGGTGTATCTAAACGAAGATTCACTTTGTTATTTGATTACCCAATAGACAAAACAAGGAGTATATTTATTTAATTATCATTTATCAACCAAATTTTCTTTCATATGATTTTTATTAGTTGGCAGCCCTTGGGAAAATTTAGTAATCTTACTTGAGAATTGACATAGATGGGTGCATATTCATCATGGGGGAACTGATTTGGATTATTTATATTGGGTGGAAAGACTTTTTTTTTTAATTTTATTTGGGTTCATTTTGGTTCCATTGAGTATGATGAGTTGGCTTAGTGTGAGCATGCCACGTGTATGACACAGACCCTTTTGAGTAGAGGCACCAAAAGAAAAGATGATAGGGCACCTACTTGTTTATTTGGAGTGATTAACACGTCATATGATTGCCACCTCGAACCACCTTATTAATTAATTTATTTATTAATAAACTACTGGTCTAGCTGTACTGCTCTTCCATACAAGTCGTCTC